TGGACTGCAGCTGCAGGAGTGCTAACACAGGCTGTGTGCTTTCTCAACACATTTTAGAAATGATGAAAGGGACCTTTAAAGGAGCGCTTGCTTCGCTCTGTCAGTTCACCACTTTCCCTGTGGCTTGATACAGAAGATAACACAAACATAGATAAGGAAGGGACTCAAATCAACAGCACTTCTTATTTTCATGCAGCAACATTTCTTCTGAGGTTCTAACTGCATGGTGTGATAATGGAATAATTTTGACCTTAAAATCAAATACACCATGCTTTTGATCTGACAGAATTCCCCAATGTGTGGTCTTTTCTCTGGACAGCTCTGCGACACTGATAACAAGATCAGAACAGCTGGATCTGGAACAAGCTACCCAGCTACCCGGTGGTCTCTTTCATGAAACGACTGGATGAGATTCTGGAATCAATTAACTACTAACGACCAATTAACTACTTACAAGGCTAGATGAGCTGAGTGGCCTCTTGACTATAACTGCTCTTATGTTCTTAATGACTAAACATTAGCTGACTAAAAATCTCCCTCGTGTGGTATCTTCCGATACTTCGTCAAGCCTTGCAGAAAAGCAACATGGAATTACTGTACAGGAGCTCCACAAGCTCCATGCTTTAACTCTGCAGAATCTTTACCTTTTTATAGCCAATAGCAGAAGATGCCGTTTTGGGGCGTCTGACCGGTGATGGGGTTCCATCTGTGCACTCTGCAGGGAAGGGAGATGTCCTCTCGGGGCTGTCTCTACCAGCTGGGCTTGGGGGTGCTTCTCCACTGAAGCGTTTCAGGAACTCCCGGTAGTCCAAGTTGCCATAGTCATTGACAGGCAATTGGCTCCACAGGTCGTTGAACTGGGAGGAAATGGAGAACGGCTCTGTTACAGAGCTGGTGGTGGATGGATTGACTGCTTACCTTGAAATGAAGGTTACACAGGGTAGCTGTGCATATTGGCTTGTTTACAAAGGTGCAAAAAACAGACTTTTCTGTTTTTATTAGATTACATACATTTTTTCAGGAAATCCGACCAAAATTAAAATTACCTTTGAGTAAAAACTAACATAAGCCATTTTAATTATTACACGAGAACAAATCAATTTGTTGTCATAAAAACTAAACAATATTTGATTCACAGGTCACCTTCACACAGAGTTACCTCAAACTGCACAGAAAACACAAGTGTACCTGATCATCCGTCAGGCGCATGAAATGCTGGTGGCAGATGTCCCTGAAGTCCTCTTTGGAAATGACATTGATGTGAGCATAGTCCAAATTCACGATCTCCCTGCTGATTGTGTACAAGCGTGCAGTCACCACTTCTTGAATGCGGCTCAGAATGTCCTTCATGGACAAAGCCTGAGTCTGGATGGGCCTGCTGAACTTCTCCACCTTCTCTGTCCACTCATCTGTGGTCTGCCACACATACAGAAACATGTGAATCAATTACAAAAATGTCCTCTTATTTTCCTCTGTAGGGGTACACTGTACCAAAAATAATTCTACAAAAACTAGCAACTCGACTGCTTACAAAGTATAAGTAAAAAAACAAACTGCAAGTAGCAACAATGGATTGTTTAGGGAGCATTTGAGGAGAACCGAGCTCTGCTTGGCCACTTCATCAGGACTTGTCAACTCTTGTCTGTCTGATCACAGAACATGACGGAAAAGCTAGAAACCGAAATACAGTAATCCCTTGGTATACACAGAATATTCTGTGTGTCATTTTACCTGGCATAACCCCCAAAAACCTGAGTATCTGTGGGTTAGTGGAGCATCTGTATGCTGCTACGTGTGCTGGCGTGAGAGAGAGCTTTTCATGAGAAGGGGAGAGAGAGCAACTGCCTCTGAGCTCATTCTCAGACAGCCTCTTTTGCCAGTAGACATGTCCACAGTTTCTATTAATATGGCTCCTACTGTACGTGCATGAGAAGAGTGAAGAGTCCAGTGTTGCTAAGCGATCTAGATCCATGATGAGCTGAGAAGAAACAAAGTGCTTGATAAGTTGCATAAAAGACAAAGTGATAGTGCTGTTAGTTGGCTGTTTGGTGCTAATTAATCTACAGTACATACAATACTTTGTACATACAATAAAGAGAAGTGAGGCGGCTATCACAGCGAGGGTACGAAGTGAACAGCAATGTTACCTAAGGTGTCCTACATGCCGTGTGACCCAACCTACAGTAATAAAGGTAAGAATTATGGCAAAAACCCATTTTAAAAACTCTCTATACAATATTACTTCCAAAATATATTGTGTGTTCTTTACACTGATGCTATAGTTTTATATTAATTATAGGTTAACAAATGTGTGATATATGTTAATAGGTTGAACTGTAACTTCAGCTCCCTGAAACCTGTTCTTTCTATAAAGTCTTAAGTTTAGCAACCATGACCTTTCAGGAATGTGACCCTCACAGTGGGCAGGGGATCACTGAATATTTTACAGAAAAGGATGTGACACAGGTTAGATGTGGGTATTTTTAGGTGCAAGTTGAAGGTTCAAGGTTCAGTGGCCAGAGACAGCTGTCACCAGATTGTGAGTGCAGGACTGAGATCAGATGACAAGACAAGGGCGAAGCTGACCAGGAGGACACAAATGACACCAATTCACTGTTCAGTGGCCCCTATTAAGTTGCCAGTTGCAAGACAAGTGGGAGTAACCAATCTGACTGTTAGATCAGAGTAAGGAATAAGCTGCTCCATCACGTGATGGAAGGTTATACCTTGGCATCTTTCAGGAAACTTCTGGATGGAATTGTCAGATCAATGGTAGCTTCTAACTACCAAACAGACTAGAGGGGCCGATGAGTTTCTTCTCGTTTCTATCTTTTCTTACTTTCTGATGTGATCAAAGGTTCCAGATTAAGAATGACTGACGGCGTGCTTACCCCCTGGTTTATAAAGTTGAAACAGCTGAGGAAATCCTTCCAATCCACAGTCCGGTCTCTGTTCACTTTGACCTTCCCCAGCAGGTGCCTGAACTGCTGGTCGGAGAGCTTGAAACAGAACTGGTCCAGGACCCGGCGGAACTCCAGGGCTGAGACCGTACCACTGCCACTCGTGTCGAAGGCAGCGAAGGCCTGGCAAACAACAGCAAGGAAATTGCGAGGCGTTTTCACATTAGACAACCTTTTGAGCAAGACTGCTGCCCTGGAAAGTGTTTCTTGCGCTTGGGTTGTGTTTTCTGATGGCTGTTGTTGGTTTGGAGGCATCAATACTGTTAAGTACTAGTAATAGGTTGGAAAAATTAGTGAAAATAAGTTGCAAAATAATTGGGGAAAATCAAATCAACTCTACAAAGAAATGGTTTAAAGAAGGGCAAGAGCATTAAAGAGTGTGTGTCACACTCTTGTCCATTGTGAATTGACACTCCTCCTATCTATGAGATGCCTCTGGTTTCCCAGGTGCAACAGTAACAGATTCAGTCACCCTCACTGCAATATCTCTCTGGATGTAAAGTAACTCTTATATTCCATAAAATTATTTTACCATCTCTGTAATGTTTGTCTGCCTTGTATTGTTGTATTGGATTGTGCCATAAAACAAATTTCCCCTAGAAGACAATACTGAACTGAAACTAGAATTTCTAGACTAGAAAAGAGTCTGTTGTTCAGTGAGGAAAATCTACAGATTAATTCCTGGTAAATTTTCACTTTTTCCTCGAAACTCTTTTGATGCAAAGCTCATATGCTGTGCTTTGTTGATTACAGTACTGTTATAGGAAATAACTTGACTCTATCATATTATTGACTGTACGATATTTTGACTTTAACCTCTTTACTTGCATATCAGGACAATTATTTTATATAGCAAATTTTATGATGCATCATTTCAAGATGCTTTTTGATTTTAAAAAAAGATGGAACATTTAAGTTTATTCTTTACATTTACATTTATTGCAACTTGCATCACATCTGGCTCAGATTGAAAAGGTGCAATAATTACAACAATGTAAGAGCAATACTGTACAAAACGTGTCAACATCTGCATAATACCCGAAAAATACTTTGCAAGTTCGTATTTTCCATGCTGGGCAAGACATTCAGTCTACTATATGAGAAATATGTAGACTCAAGAAATGTTCAAAAATGCCAATGTGAAGATTTTCATGCATTATGTTGCTCTTAACTAGACTAAGATGCTGAATTAGTTACACAGTTCATTAATACTCCTACTCCCCTAAAATTACAAAGATTATATATTTAACAGAACCACTGCATGATGTCCAGCAAAGGTTTATTAAGTTTCACATGTTGTAGGTAGTACAAAATTGATGTTCAGTCTAGGGAAACTAGATTCCACTAAGAAAGTAGATTCCACTACAGAACAGGGCTGTTTCACTATGACATTCAGTATCGAGAGTTCAGATGTACAGTGTGCTGTCCTGTAATGGCTGAAATTCAGTAATGATTAAAAGAAAGCAGCCTCACCTTTTGAAGAGTGTCATATGAGTCTGTGACCCTTTCTTTTATTTTGGCTAACGCCTTCTCAGGGCTGTATCCGTCAAAGCTCTCTTTCCGAGCAGCTGGCTCTGGTCTGTGGCCATACTCCAAAGCTCCACTGCCATCAAACGCTCGCAGAAAGTCAAAGTAGGACAGTTTGCCCTCATCTGTGCTGATTCCATGTCTGAGATATTAAAAACAGGTCATACAAAAATGCTTTTATCGCACATAAATGTTTAATCAAGTGTGCCAGCTTGTGTTAGTTGTTCTAGATAAGGATTTAAATACTGTATACAATATATTGCATAAATATAGTATATATAAATATAATATACTACCTTGCAGATGTGCTGTTCTGAAATGTGTGGAAGTTTGTATGATTTTTTGTTTGCAAAGGCAAAGGCGACGTTAATGACTGCTCCAATGACAGGCCGATCTGGCCGCTGTGCTATACAATGAAGATTTTCAAGCGTGTGCTGGATGCACGACTAAGAACCATCGTCGATATCTCGCCAAACCAATGCGGCTTTGTGAAAAACTGCGGAACAACGGACGCCGGACACGCAGCCCGCCTACTGATGGAAAGGCACCACGAGAAGAGGAAAACGATCCACATGGCATTTCTCGACCTGGAAAAGGCATTCGACAGAGTACCGCACGCTCTCATCTGGCTGGTGCTGCGACAGCACCACGTCCCCGAAGCCTGTGTCAGCTGGACAAAGCTCCTGGACCAAAAGGCCACTAGCTCAGTACGTTGCGCAGCTGGAACCTCAGACACCTCAGCCTTGTCTTCTCTGCTATTCATACTTTGCATGGATACAGTGACCAAAGATATCCAAACGAGGCATCCATGGACGCTATTGTATGCTGACGATGTTATGATAGCAAGTGAAACGAACAGCAAGTACAGGAGTGGAAGACGCGCCTTGAACGATTCGGGATGAAACTGAACATCAAGAAGACGGAGTACCCGGAATGCGGTGATCAAACCGATGGCACAATCGCAGCTGGTGGGGTCCAACTGAACAAAGTGACCCAGTTCAAGTACCTAGGCTCATGTGTCAACTCTGACTGCACTACCGTCCATGACGCCAAGACGCGAGTCAGCGCTGCTTGGATGAAATGGCGGCAGGTCACTGGAGTACTATGCGACAAGAAGACCTCTTCTTCTCTTGAACGATTCGTCTCAGCTCATTCCAAGGTGACTACCAAGTCCAGGAGCTCCAGAATGAGAGAAGCCCAGGGTGATTGAGGCAACAGCAGTACGAGCACCTGGCTCTGAGGGACCAGCCACTGCAGCAGTTACCAAAAGTGCAGGAAAAGTCAATGTGGTGTTTGTGTTTGTGTTTGTTTTTATGCCATTTTCCTCTTTATTCCAATTACGTTTGAGATCTGTTATGGCTTGGGGAAGACTGCAGTGAAACAGTGCATTTTATTATGTGATTCATGTTTTCACACTCAGTTTTTATACCTGTTAAGAAGATGGATGAGCTGGACTTCATCCGCTTGGTAGCTGTGCACCTTCAGTACTTTGTGCAAGTCTTGAACCATCACATAGCCATCGTTGTTTCTGTCCAGTTTGGCAAAGGCTGTACTGAAATCCTGATAGAAATCTCGGATGATATCTCTAGACAAAAAGGAAAAGCACAACAATCGTGGTGCTTGGTCACATACTGTTTCTCTCACGTAAACACTCATTCAAGACTTGAATGTCTTGTCTTTTACAGCCAACACTGCTTCAAGCAGTGCTACTGTATATTGCTTCGAGACATATCCAGTAGCAAGCAATCAACAGGATCTTAAACAGAGGTGGAAATCTTACAGCATTATCTTACTGGGACCCTCCCCTGATCTATAACCGTTCCTGTTCCCTTAAAAGAATACATACAGGCCCAAAGCAGAGCGGTCCAGACTGCACTCACTTCAGCTCTCGTTCCAGCTGCGCTGTCTGTGCTGTCCCCATGCTCATCTGCTGCTGCCTCTTCCTTTGCTCCAGTGGGCTCATGCACTTCTGCTCTACAACGCCCCTGTCCGCCGTCGGGCCACTCTCAACCGAGGAGATCTCCAAGCCCAGCTTCTCCAGGAACTCAGAGTGCGTGAGGTAACCTCTTCCTGCTTGGTCATACCTTTTGGTATCATTACAACATGATTAGTTAGACACAGGTCATAGGTTATGCTGTACTTAGAAAAAAAGCAAATATTTCTAGTTGCACTGAATTCAATTAACTGAGGGAATTATGCCATTAGTGAAAAACATCAACCTGCTTCTGAACATTATTCATATCTTTTTCATTAGGTTATTGAACTTCTGACAATCACAAATCAGAAAATATGGTGCACAGTTGCTCAATATGAAATCAAGCAATTTATTTCATTTGTAACGTAACTAATGTTATAGAATGTTTTAAGTGTGCAAATGTTTCTTTAGTTGTACAATGCTCTTAGTATGCTAAAGCATTAGGAATAGTAATATTGTTTGCAGACACTACCAGAACACACGTGTCAAATGTTCTATTAAAGAGTTTTGCTTACTGTCTTACCTTGACCACAGTTTTTCAAATTCAGCAGGTGTGATAGGCAGGACAAATCTGTATAAAATGGCCCTTAAATCCCTTTTACGGATGATGCTTCTGCCATCATGATCAAATTCACAAAATGCCTGCACAGAGGTATGAAACTTAATGCAAATTAATTATATACAACAGAGAAACGATCACTGTTCACAAATACAACAACAGGTTGTATTTGCTAAAATTGTATTAACTTGGCAGGACACAGCCAACTACAGTAGATACAAAAAGCATACTGGAATTCTTGCTGTTACAAGTAGTAAGATATAATAATGTCCTGGCGCCTGGCACTGATTCTTTGCTCTTTCTCAGCTGTAAGCCAGCTGTAAGACCAGCCTTACCTGTGAGAGGTCATGCCACCTGCTCTGAGCCTTTGCAACCAGGTAGCTATGGACTTGTTCACAAACCAGATCTGGATCAGCTTCTAGGAACTGCTTGGGCCTTCATACAGAAAATAAACATTGCAGATGCTTATATACAATACAGATTTTTTTTTCTATTTAAACAAAGTGTACTTACAGATACATAATGTTATGTAGTGTCTTCAAGAATCCAGATACAATGGGTAACAACAGGCTAGTGTCAAGTTTTCCAGCTTCAAAGCAAGGAGATATGTGCTGAGAGGTAGGGGTAGGAGACTCAGTGATCAAAGCAATTGTAAAGTTTACTTTGGTTTACTTAGTTAATTAATCTCTGGGTAAATGATTAAGCGTCCATCAACAATTCAGGAGGACAGCATACAACAGGCAAGAGGGAAAAAAGACAAGGAACAGACAGGAGGGACGACAAGGGACAGAAAGGCAGAAGGCGAGAGCTCCTTGTCCCGATCATCCAGAAAGACCAGACTGGTGTAAAGTATCTCAATTATCTTCTGAAGAGAGCTTGCGATCCTGTTGTTCTTGTGTAGAGAATATCTTGGTTAAAAACCATCTCTTCTGTTTAGTACGAGCGTTTTTTAGAATGGGGAGATACAGTAGTGATGCCATTCATGTTGTAGGGTTTACAGAGAAAGATTTAACTGTAGGTCATATTCTGTTTTTGAAGGCAGTTTTATCTCTTCCTATGGCCTTTGTACAGTAAGATTTCTAGATGGTGGAGACATAAGCCTGTGGGGTGCCTTGTTAAAAATGTGTACATAGTGTAACTTGTGTGTTGTATGTTTATGTTATGTGTTGCTTAGTGTGTGTGTGTTGTTGTGGGAATAGTTATAAGGAACAGGTTTATTCCATGCTGAAAAGAAAAGAAACAACTTTTTGAATGAACTATTCGCACCTGCTTCACGCGATTTCCTCCCCGTTCACCTCCCCTTCTTAACCACTGCTCAGCTTTTGTTCTCCTTTGCCTTACTCATCTGCTCCTGTCCCTCTCTCTAAGTAGCCTCTTGGACAGCCGAAATGTTGTGTCTCTTTTCCTTTCGGTGTAGAAGAAACCTTTATCTGTTCCTTAGCAGCCTACGTCTGCTGGCCCAGTTACATAGTGAAAATTGTTGTGTGTGACCCTCATTTTGTCTAGTTATTGTGAGGTGACACTGTAGATGTAACTACAGGTCAAACACGGGTTCCACTGTTTACAGGACATGGCAGATTCAGTTCAGTTCAACACACTGGACTGAATAAAAACAGGAACAAGTAATAGGTTTATTCCAGGCTGAAAAGAGAAGAAAGAAAACACAAAGTTTCGGCAGCTGAAATGTTGTGTTTTCTTTCTTCTCTTTTCAGCATGGAATAAACCTATTACTTGCTCCTTTGAGGCTACATGTATGCATGCTGACGCAGCTCCCCACCTGAATAAAAACACCTAGACTATACACTAGAGCACAAGCTTTTCCCTGGGTGCAGACAGAAATGTCCATGAAGTCCTGCTGCAGCTGTAACTATAGAGCATCAAGACCCTCCGAGGGTGGCTTCTTGGCAGGAAGCAACTGGCATGCAGACCAGTACCTCTGTATGTTTCATGATGCGTGTGGTGAGGAGCTACCCCAGAGACTGGGAATGCCTCTCACAGTACATTTAAAATCATGAACGTTCCTGCATACTATTTGCAAAGAAAAAACAATCTACCTTTGGTGCTAAGGTATTATGTATAGTTCCAAAAAAAAATCACAAAATCTAGATACATCTGCTGCAGACAGCAGCTAAGAGCTCACAAAATCTTTGTGCTAAGAGCCACAATATGTTAGGAGTCTGATATCAATAAACAGCATAAAATTCAAGCAAATTCTCTAAATCCATGTGCCCTAGCAAGTCATTAAATATAATATTGTTTGTAGTCAAACGGTTTTTCAGATGAATCCAAGCTCCTCTGTTCTGCACTCAAGGGGTGTGCTGTGCTCTCTCTCCGTACCTGTGCAGACCCTACCTGACACTGCTCACCTGCTTGAAGAGCTCCACCAGGGAGTGCCCTCGGGCCTCTGCTGGGACTGAAACATACGTAGGAACTCAGGGAAGTTCAGAGTGGACCCGGGTCCCAGTCCCAGCAGACCCAGTACACGCTGGTACTCCTTCTCTTTAATGATAAACGAAAAACTGTCAAACAGATCTCGGAAGTCACGCATAGTGACGATGCCATCATGATTCGTGTCCATCTTGTGGAAAGCAGAGAAGAGATCCTACAATAAAAAACAAATGCATATAAACTGAATGTAATATTCAAGGAATTTCAAATATGACATTTTCTTATGATTTTATTAGTATGGCACTTTTGTCAATAAGCTGTAATATGCTGTGCAGGATTTCAGCATACAGTAGTTCACTCACTAAGTCATTAAGGCCACTGCTGAACTATCACAAAGAATGGTTTTAAGACAGATAGTAGGAGATGCCTCTTACCCCTGACTTGCCATTCAGTCTTTCCTTCATCTGAGCAATGCAGTCCTCCGCCGTCATGTATTGGACCTGTTTCCCATCTGCGTGGTGGTGAGAACTGCAGGCAGGAGGTGCACTCCCACTGGGAACCTGAAGACCTGCAGTCAAGCAGTGATGTCGTCAGGAGAGGACCTCGCTCCAGAGCCCAGGGGTGGGACCTCACCCCAAAGGCCAGAGACAGGGCCTTACCCCTGAGCCCACAGATGGTACCTCGCCCCAGAGGCCAGAGACAGGACCTCAAACCACACACCAGAGAGGGGCCCTGATCCCAGAAAATAGAGACAGCCTCACCCCTGAACCCCCAGACGGGACTACACCCCAGAGCCCACAGGCACGGCCTCAACACCAGACACCAGACACAGGACATCGGCCCAGAGCCCAGAAACAGAACCTCACCCAAATTACTTAAGAATTACAAAATAACATAGTCAAAGCTGGACATAGCTTTGAAAGATGTTCTGAAATTACAAATAACGAATATCACTATGTTTTTTGTGGATGATACTGTAATTGTAACTGTATTTTTTTCTTATTATACTGTTACTATATTCTGATTTTCTGTTAGAATCATACACTCAATTTAAAACTGACAAGTCTCTGCTTCTCAGTGCCCCTGTTTCCAAAGGTCTTTACCCTTAATTCAGTTTGAAGGGAAAAGGAAAGAAGACTGTACTGATGGAATGAAGGGACATGCTTTTATAGAATGGGTGCCCTTTCGTGAAAATCTACAAACAGCTGTCACTTACCCAGATTATATTATTTGGAATTTAATGTAATAATGTAAGTGTCATATAGATATTAATTATTTCCCTTGCAAATAAACACTGCTACATTTTGGGGAAAAGGTAAACAAGATAGATTAGCCAAATCATTGCTGGAGTGATTTTATTTCTTTTACACGCCATACCGACCTTCAAAACCATACAGCAAGGAAATATTACACATCACACAGCAAATCTTTTGGGTGTTTTATCTTCCAAAGCCAAATCTATTTTTTTCAATAACTGTAAGTTAGTGCCTACTCATTTAACGGTGTTTCAAGGTCCAAATTAATGTGATATCCTGCTGCTACAATACTGAATTTCCACTAAAGAAGATATGTAATTAGCTGAAACATCAAGAAATCAAAATTGTTCTGTGTCCCAGTTCTTTCTTTCAGTAATGAGAAATGGATGATTGTAAAAAAATTGTTAAATTCAAAATAATTTACCTCATAGTTCGTGAGATAAAAACTGACCTTTTTAAAAGCTGTGAAAAAGGAACCATACCACTAGAAAATCTGAAACCAGCTGTATCAGACAACCTGTGCTACATAGCCCAAAGGAATACACAATTAATCCCCAGCCTGTAACAGCCAGTTCCTGTTGCTCAAGTGCTTCAGAGCTCACAATGTTGCAATGTGAAGTGGTACATCACCAACATACTGTAACTGCAACATAAAGACTTTCGGATTTCAGTAGGCTATTGTGGATTATAGGAAAAATGTAAGAAGACCACAAGACATGCAGGAGAGGACATGGATCAGGCAGGCTAAAGACCTGGAGGTACAGCATCAGGCATGTTGAACAGAGAAACGTGGAAAAGACAAACCTGACAATAAAGCCAGAACCTACATGGGTTTAACTGGAAAATACCATTTCTAGGAGCTTAATAATAAGTGTATGCTACAGATCACTTAATGCAGACAGGAGTAGTAACATCTATAATTGGGAAATTTAAATTTTCTACAGATTCATTGGGATTTTATTAATTGGATTGTGAATGCAGAAACTGAAATCGGTATGGTGGACATGGGCAATGGTTGCTTGTTAATCCTTAATTGTTAATCTCTTTATTACAGTTATGACCTACTGTTTGTTATGAAAAACAGTATAAATTCATATATGCATGGAAATAGAAGTGATAGAATCGCTGGCAAATCACAATCATAGCATAGCAATGTCTGATGTATACTTTAACTCTCTATAGCTTGAGTCTCATAGTAGAGTTTATCATTTTAGAAAAGCAGGCTGTGAATTAATGAGGCAGAGCTGACGGTCGGTGAACTGGGAACAGATGGATTCAGAGTCAACAGAAGAAGGATGGTTATAGTTGAAAACCATGACATCCATCCATTTTCTAAACACTTTGTCCAATACAGAGTGGCAGCAGAGCTGGAGTCTATCCCAGCAGGCAACGGGCACGAGGCAGGGTACACCCTGGACGGGTCCATCGCAGGGCAGAAGCAGACACAAACAAGCACACACTACCACCAGGACTGTGTTCCCAGAAGCCAGCGAACCTACCAGCGCATCTTTGGACTGTAGGAGGAAACTGGAACACCCAGAGAGAACCCTGCAAACATGGGGAGAGCAAACTCCACGCCGACAGCACCCCAGATCCACAACTGAATCCAGGGCCCCAGCGCTGCAAGGCTGCAACACTAACCACTGCGCCAACATGCCTCCCAAACGCATGATAAAAAAGGCTCCAAATAAACAAGATCGTGTGGGTTAAATTGTTCAATGGAAAAAATTAAGAAAAAGATCATAAGGAAGAAAGTGCTCTCCCAACTGCTTAAAAGAGCACATATATCAAGACTGTAAACAGAGCGTACCAAGCTATAGGAGCATCTGAAAATAGAGATTACAATTGCCAAGAAGGAGACAGAAAAGAGTGCTGCAATGAATGCCAAAAAATAATTACAATAAGCAACTACTGTATCAGCATTACATTAGTAAAAGAACTGTGACCACAGGAACACATTTTTGACAAGATAACAGGAGATTATTAACTGAATACAAAAAAGAAAAAGAAATAGAAATAGTCGACACATTTATAAATGAAGACGTCAATCACATTAAGAAACATGTACAAGAGGGATAAGAAGCTCCATCAGTATTGGTACCGAATAGTACTTTCCCAGTCACCTTTAAGAAAATGAGGATGTTATTCAGACATCCAGCCTGAGGTGTAACTAATAACAGCAAAACTGAAGAACTGGAAGTCTAACACTAATTCACAAAAAGGGAGACAAAACTTAAAGAAAAAGCTCCTGTATACACCAATACATCTTGCATCTATCACTGATAAAACTACAGAAACAATAAAGAAAACTAGCCAAAACAATGGCATTTTAAGAGACAGCCAACATGTTATTAGAAAGAGAAGATATTCAGAATTCTTCTAAAAAGGATTCTGAATAAACAAGGGCATTTGATAAGATTAAAGCACGCAATGTGATCTTTGAACACATTACGCTCGTCACATGGGTGGCTCAGAGCTGCAGGAAGCTATACATGAAAGCACTTTGCAATCTGGGTGGTTAAGTACATTGTCTGAAGCACTCATCAAGACAATGTGGGGAAACGATAAAAAAATCACACAATGCCAAGGTAAAAGGCTGAATTTAATCCTGGTACGTTATACTTTCTTTTTACAATATATTAGTAAGACCTCTTTTAGACTATTGTGTTCAGTTTTCTTACTACAAAGAGACACTGTTGCGATTGGAAGGGTAGCAAAGTAGTTGCCAGCTTGATGACCTGATACAGAAGATTTGGAATAATGGTTGTTGTCTGGAGGTGTTTACCCAGTCTTGTTAGTGTTCTGGGTCTGGGAGACAAGTAAATATTGGGGAAGACACAGATGATCACAGATTATGGAATATTTGAAATTATTCCATCACCTTCTGCGACACTGTTAAATTTCATTTGTGTGATGGCTTTCATCAGCTCGTTAGGTATTGGTAGAATTTCAAGATGGTCTCTAATTGGGTGCTGTGGGACAGAAGTAAGAATAATAACATTGAAAATGGATTCTTGATTGAACTGATACTCAATTCCTTCTCCTTCCAATGGGGATTGACTGCCTCCCTTTCCTGGATCAGGTCTTCTTGTTCCGTAGGTTTCCGAGGCACTGGTCCTTGTGTGCTCGGGCCATAAAAAAGTCCTTCTGAACACCACCTGTTCTTCACGAGCTCTCCTTTGAACCTCCTTCTTTGCTAGTTGCTGGGTCAAGCTCTTCCATTTAGACTTCAGCTCACTCTGCCATGCGTAGAAAGCCCAGTGCCGTTTCTCAATATCCTCACTGATCACGTGGTCATTTTCTTGCCATAAGATCCAAATGTCTCTTTGTAGGAACTGACAATATGTGTCTTCCTTAGCAGTATAAATAATTTTCTTCTGTTTTTGGTTGAGGCTTGAGAGATTTTCCCTAATTTATCCTAGAGAATGTTGGTTTGAGAATTTGGTTGGGACAACACTGACTTTCTGTGCACACAGCTTCTTCAGAAGGTGATGTTTGGGGGCCAGTCTGATTGGCATCATAGGACAGACAAGACAGTGAGCTCCTGCCACTGCTCCGGCTGATGTGTGTCTTTGTGATTCCCGACATGGACATAAAGTGAATCAGCTGCCAGAGTTTGGATCATGGATGTCGCAAGGATATTTTGCGTCTCCTTTCCTGATGTGTTCCTGGAGTACTGGTGATAATGAGACCATGCTCTAAGTATTTGATAAGGAGAATAATGTTGCTGGAGTTGACATTTCCAACTTCCATCCTTGTGATTGTTTCCACTTCAGAGACAAGCACCTTTTTCAAATCTGGTGTGGAGATCTCTAAGTTCAATAAATCTGTCCTTCAGGATTGCACAAAGGATAACAAAGAAATCTTCCTTGGTTTTGTTGTCTGAATCTAGAGTAGGGGTATTGTACATACTGGTACGCAATTCAAGAGAGTGGTTAAATAAAATGAACCCAAGAGGTACGTAAGATCTGAGGCATGTGAGAAATGGCACGTGAGGTCTTAATGTGCTCTGGTACAGCTCTAGTGATAGAGTACACAGGGTTAATCCTGGACAAATATTTCTTAACAATAAAATAACACAGCAAAACAATATCAAACATTACAACATGTGATCTATATATCCAGAAACAAAGAATTCCCATGAACTGAAATCACTATGGAACACCTTAACAAACCACAATGAAAAAGCTGTGTCCTAAAAATGCATAATACTCAGAAATAAATCTCCACTCCTACAACATGGATTCGCAAAAGTGCATGGGAATCAATCTATTCAAATCATGCACCACCAAACTAGCAGAGAACATTGTTCATCACAGGATTCCACAATACAGGAAATTAGATGTTCCTACAACAGATCCCTCTAAAATTAGGTCTGGATTACTTAGCCAGAATGTGATCTGAAAGACTGATCAGATTAAGTCCCTCTCACAAAAGAAGGGTGATGGCCTTCCATAGTCTTTTAGTGTCTTCTCCTGTTTCTCTGTCTTCCTTCTTATATCTCCTCCTGCCTTTAGTCATGTCTACAGCTGTTCCATGTTTATCCTTCATCATGGTTAACCACAGAAAACCACCAGAAAACCCCTTTGATCATCTGCGTTTACCACATGCGTTACACCTGGGCAGGGAGGGCCTCACAGCCGGCGGTTTCCATGGCCTTGACAATGAGATCCGGCGGCTTGTCTGTTCATCCACCTGCTTTTCAATCAGGCAGCCAATCTACTAATCACACCTCTCATTAACACCCGCATAAAGGCTTGATTCACGGCTTAGTCAGACTCTGACATCAAACTACTGACAGCCATACAGTATGCGATCAGCTCCTAAATGGACCTCAGTCAAGCACCACCTAAGCCCTCGGTCACCTCTGCTTGAAACCCGGCCAGCTGTGATCAGCCTCCATCTCCGAGGAAACCAGACAGCCTCGTCAGCCTGCTTCAAAACCCTGAGCAGACTCGGGCACATCTGCTGCTGTCAGCCCTGTCTGCTTGAAACCCCGGCAGTCTTTACTCTATCAGCCAATCTGCCTGAAGCACACCAGACAGCCCTTACTCCTCCTCTGGAGAAATCCGAAGCCCTGCGCTTCGATCTCGACTTGCTATTTGCTCGTAGCGTAGCACACTGTAGTTTTCATTTGAGAAAACACCTCAAATGATACACAGTGTCCCAGGCTTTCTGTATAAGGTCTTAAGTAGTCCAATTAGGATGTGAACTGAAAACTACACACCCCCTTCAGTTATAACAACACAGAAATCAATTAGGAAAATTGGTTCCATGCTAATTTGAGACAAAGAATCACGGGGAGCTCATTAATTCTAACAGACAGCTCATGAAGATAGTTAATTATTTCATTCCAGAACGCAAATATAACTCCATGAACCCATGCATTCTTCCTCTGATTTGCCCTTTCTGAAGAAGGTGCAGCCACCGTCTTTCTGGAGAGTTTCTCTTCCCCAGCTCTTCAGAGTTAACTCAGATGGCAATAGCATTGTCATATCAGAGCGATGGCTCTGTGGCTCAGGATCTTTGCCTGTGACTGGAAGGTTGCAGGTTCAAATCCCGCAGCTGGCAGAGGAATCCTACTCCGTTGGGCCCCTGAGCAAGGCCCTTAACCCCAACTACTCCAGGGGCGCTCTAAAATGGCTGACCCTGTGCTCTGACCCCAAGCTTCTCTCCCTGTCTGTGTGTCTGTGTCTCATGGAGAGCAAGCTGGGGTATGTGAAAAGACAAATTCATACAGTAATGCAAGAAATTGTATAGGGCTAATAAAGCAACATTATCTTTATTACATTATATCTCCCGAGCTCTCTGTACACAACTGCAATGTGGTGTTCTGAACAGTCCATGGGGGTCCTGAGGTTTCTGGTCCCAGATTTTTATAATAATAAATCTTAATGCTTTATGCTTTGTGCTTTTACATAATTTATTGACCTCTGTATCTGTTTTTAACTTGTGCACCTCAATAGTACGACAGTACATCCATACTCATGTCGAGAGGATAGTTGGGCCAGAGGTATCCCAGTTTCTGCTGTGTCACACTGACTGACGATGTGATGTTCCTCTGGATGAGAAGCTTGTCCATTGCAGGGTTACCTCCAGCAACGCTGGTACCCAGTGATACACCTGGAGTAAAGTACCTTCCTCTGAGATCCAACAGCAGCATGTGCAGGTGGGGTGCAAACCTACAATTCTTTTCATGCACAAACGTCTAGTTAAAATTCCTAAATCTTAACCATGCCTCCATGAGTTCACCTGTAGCTCAAAAAGGGGGAGAAAATTCAACAGACCCATGTCATCGCGCACAAAACCCTGTAATGTGAGATGACAATGAGAGCATAAAAACAATTTTATGCCATCAGTATGTATTGTGACAGTTCGAGGTGTAGTTTACTGCCAGCTTTGAAGAAATTCAACTATATAAAATCCTGGATGGTATAGATAGGGTCAATCTGGGGGATTATTTCTGGTCTATCAGGAACATGCTTTCCATCAGAGCCATTCAGGCCCAGATTCAAATTCAATCTAGATTCAATTATCTAGACAATAACACACTATAACTCACAACTTGGAGCGTAAGCCCATGGTTCATGAAAAAAACCACCTTATAAAAATAGTATAGGATAGTATACATAATACAGACTGCTGAATCCTGATCTTTAACACAACAGAACGCATCTGGTGCAGCAAATTGTAAACAGACCACAGAGAACCACTACTCTCAGTGCACAAGAAACCATATGTGTCCCTTCTAGATGTGCAGCTGCTAAAACATCCAAGAGCAGGCCTGTCAACTACATTGATAATAAACAGGTTATCACTGTCAGGAACAGTACTGGCACCATTTTCTCTGCCATAGTGAAGACCAGTGTACTACATGCAAATAGAAAACAAATAGAACAAAAAGTGTGACACTGTTATGGGTTTAGTAAGATCCTTATAGTACATAATCTTGTGAGGGTATGTGGGGTAAAGCTAGAAAAAGACCCTAAAAGACAGGTATGCCCACTGTATTTTAGGAGCCTAAGGTACCTTACTTAAAATACAACATATCCTAATAAACAAATTAGTTCCATCTCAAATTGACTATTTTTCATATCTCAAATGAGAACACCTGCATCAATGAAAAAACATTTTCAATGTAGCAAAAAAGGAAAAAAAATCTCAATATTATATTGTGTTCTTATCACAACCTAATATTCTTTCTTACCTTCACATTTAGTGAGAAACTCGGAGTAAGACAGACCTCCATTCTTAAACCCTAGTGCTTCGATGAGAATTTGAAATTGTTCATCATCCACATTAATGCTGCAGTCTTCCAGCACCTTCAGGGTCACAATATAATAGGGAGTACGTGATTACACACTTTTTTCATTCTAAACAAGTGAGATTTGTAGCACACCTAAAGAAGAGATTTGACCTTGCATTTGACCAAATCGTTTTTTTTACGACACCCCAGGTATGTGTCTCGTCTTTATTAGTCAGCCTCGCTACTCTTTAAATCCTATAAGTTTAAAAAATGACTTGAAAGAAATGACTAGAAAATGAAAGAAATTATTAATCTCTGAAAGACTTCTGAAATACATAAACCTGGCTACCATTAAGAATAAAATAATTAAAGGATAAAACTCATAGAAGCAGAAAAATGTTTAAATCTACTGCAAAGCAACTATTTGCTGTCTGTTGACCCTTAGCAGAAAGAGATGAAAAAGAGACTGATCCTGGGGTCACTGTTTCAGACTCATCGGGTGTGCTCGGACTGGCTGTGACTGTGGTTCCAGTCAACACGTTTGATGGGTTTCTGTGTAGTCCCAGAGAAAATAAGAAAAAGAAAGCATCTCACCTTTTTCAAATCATCTTTAGAGACTCTCCCCTTGCAGGAATTCAGGAGACACTGTTGAATGGAAATGTCCCGCTGGGCTAGTCGCTCTTTAAGTTTTTTCATAACAATTTTCTCTACAGCCCTGCTCTTAGCGTAATGAGCTGCTCCTTTATCAGCCTGCTTTATCCTATAGAAAAAATACACGTGACAACATGTTGCCAGACTATCACGTTGCACAGAGACAAGAGGAGAATTCAGTTAAAAATGAAAAGAGATTTCAGAGAAGCTGCACAATAAGAGAATGGGTGCTTTAAATTCTATCACGTGGTTCCACATAACTTAATGTAATCAGACTTCAAGTTTACGAAGGACAATGCCTTAGAAGGAAAAATGAATAACTGGGAAGTGAGCTATCTACAGATCTGTTTGAAGAGCCCGCTTTTCCCTCAATTCAGTTTGAAATCTTTCTTCGGTTTGAAGAAAGATTTGCTGTAGAACTGGGAACATGAAAACTCAGATTTTAATCTCAGGAAAAAAAGTACAATGCACAGCTCTTTTTTCATTACCTTTCTGAGCTGCTTGCACTCTTTCTTGCCTCAGCTTTTCTAAATGTTTCAGAAGCTGGGCCTCCAAGCTGTGCAGGAACTCCTAAACTCTCCAGAAAACACCTGTAGAGAACTCCGCCGGACGAAGAGCTCATGCAGGAATCACACAGCCTTTGGAAAAACACAGAATCATCCAAAACATGCAGAAATTTACTTGATATGTCCTCCGTTAAAAAGCTTCCAAAATCACCATCCAAGACACTTATGGATCTTAACTCAGTTATCTTTCATAACCTTTCAAGGGGAGCAGCTTTGCTTTGACCAGCATGAATCTAAACAGGAGATACACATTACTAGCATGTGGTACCATTCCACATTCTGGTTAAAGGGTGACACAGCTAGAGTGCTTTTTCTGTAGATAACCTGAAATAAGATGATAAAGAAATAAAGATATTAGACATATTAGGTCTTTTATTTTATTGATGAAGGCAAAAATAAATACTTTTTACAAATTTCTTGAAGACAGGTAAGAGCCTTCTTATTATTTAACCTGTCTTACCGTCTTGAAGACTGTATGTTCTGTAATCATTACACCCTTCTTCATTCCAATCTAATCTAGCTTTAATACAGCACCACTGCCGAATGAAACAGGCAGCTGTGTACACCTCTCCAGGATGTTGATGAACTGTGATGCAGCTACTGAACCTGACGAAACGTCTACCGCGAGACTGATGGAAGAGCAAATGCAATCCCGGGTATTTAATGAGCAAGTCGTGCCGGTGGAGGAAATGAACAACAAAGGCCTTTCGTCCTGCAGCAGCGCTGGGAATGGTTTTCAGTTCGGTGTTCACGAACAGGAAGGGGTGACTCACTTTTGAAAGTGGCTGTCGGACACAGGTAACCCATAAGTGTGCAGGACTTTCCGGAGCTCCTCCCGAGTCACACTTCCTGTGTCGCTGGGGTCGTAGAACTCGAGAGCCTCGCTGACCTGGTCCCAGTGAGCGGAGAGTTTATCCCGTAACAGCCCCTCCACCTGTGTGCAGAACGGACTGTGTCACCCCAGCGAAAGTCCAGTTAGCATCTCTAATCTAAAGGAATCCACACCAACCCTACCACAACGTTTGGTGGATAAATGTTTTTACAAACATTTTTTGAGGAGACTACTCTACACTGAAATATTTTCAGAATGAGCCCACCTCACTAGGTTCCAACCTGAATAAAATAAATTAACTAATCCTACCACTGGAGAGTACAAAACCCAGTACTTGATGGGAGATACTGAGCAGAGGGACGTTCTGCTTTGCAGACTGCAGGCAGATCTTTTTGATTTCATACAGGTCTAAACCTGGAAAAGTTTCCCAGTCAGTGAACACAAGGGAGGCTGATACAATTCAGGCATTAGCTCACTGTCTGCTCACAAACGATAGGACACACAGCAGCAGAACGTCCAGACAGCCACTGACACAAAGGACCTCACAGCAATTACTACTTTCCAAACTAAAGTTTCTTACTTTGATGACTTTGTTTTAAAACCTGCTGTCAAATAAATTAAGTCAAATGTGTTACATTAAAAAAAGGAAAAAATCCAGCTATAAATGTTAATTGTGGAAATTAAATCTCATTAGAGCATAACAGAAAATGGATTTTATAAGGATTTAAAAAGTAATTAATTGCCCTGAAAGTTCACCAAATTATCAAAACACAACATCATAAAACTTTAAACACCTTTAAAAGCAATCCCCTTAAAGCACTTTACAGTACATGAAATGCACATTTTACAAAAAAAATCCAATGAAAGGAAATGAAAAGATTTTTTTAATGTTCTCTCCAGGGACTCTGGTTCCCTCCCCCAGTTCAAAGACATGCTGTCTGTGTTAACCGGCGTCTCTGAATTGTGTCACTGTGTGTGTACATGGTGCGTCTTCTGTCCTGGGACGGACAGGCGTCCTGGCCAGCGCGTGTCCCTCCTTGTGCCCTCTGCCTGCTGCTCATCAGGATCCAGTATTGAACTAAGCAGGATGTGGATGAAACCTGCAAACTGCCGGGATTTGCAAACCACGGACGTTAGCTGTAGTATATTGCAAAGCCTTCACAGGCAATGTGACCAGCGTCCAGCAAATATAGAATCCCCCTCGTGAAACTTTAGCTTTCCTAGTAGCCCAGCCCCCTGTGAGAACGGTTCACTCACAGTGTCCCATGTCTGGTCCGGAGGAGGTTCCTTTTCGCCCTGGTGTGTCTCCGTGTCCCCACTCAGACACTTGTATCCCTCCTGGAAACAGACAGAAAGGTAGAGTTCAGTCTACAGGGGATAACACAAATCTTGAAAGAGAGTCATAGCTTGAGGTGATGCCGCTGCCTGTGACCTAGATTTTTTTAACGTAGATTGAACATGTCAATGGAGATAAACCTCTTCCTCTTGGAAAATGAGCTGCAATCTTACCCATTTCTCTTTCACCTCAAACAACTCCAGAAAGCGATGGTAGCTAACAAAGCCAGTGTGCTCAGGGTCCAGCAAAACCATGAGCTCTTTAAACTGCTGGTTGGTCATCCTGAGTGTCAGACTCTCCACAATCCGACGCATCTCTCTGCGAGCGATCTTCCCAACCCGACTCTGTAAGACATGTACACACTCAAAACATGCAGCCACATGGGAAATAAAGAATTTGACATTAAAAATGAACACTGCTCAATTCTGGGAATTTTTACAACACCTGGTAAGTCAGCAATCTTTTACAGTGTTCTGAAAAACAATGAGGTGAGAATCAAAGTGCATGGCTGTCATTGTCCACATCACAGACCTGATAAAGAGCTGGCATTTCCACATTTTGCGTGAAAATATAATGGTGCCCCCTGAACATGTTTTCCTTTGTTTCACTAGGATGGTTCATAATTATAATAAATGAGCAGGTGAATCTGCACTAACATCACCCCAGCCCTAACCTCAACCAGAAACGTGGTCCTGCTGAAAACTAGCATGCAGGTCCAAAACTTTATAAAATGGTCATGCTGAAAATTATCTTGAGAACATCAGATAGACTTCACTAATGTGCATGTGTTTGTAATGATTCGTGAAATACAAACAGCAATCCACTTAGTGTCATAGAGCCTTTTAACAAATACTTTATCTACAGTATGTACTGTAGCTTCAGTCACAATCCACACAGAACCCTTGAAAACTGTTCTGAAAGATCTAGGATGTATTTCTAAAAATTACATTACTATTCATGTTTTTACATAATACATGTGTCCTTATTTGATGTGCATTCTTTCCTTGAAATGAAAGCATAGCTGGAAATTAGTGGAAAAAGGGAATATTTTATCACAAATCTGACTTCCTACCTCATCAAACAACAGAAAGGCTTTTTTCAGTGAGGGGAAAGCTTCCTGCACGTGATGCTGCAATTTCTGCAGGATCTCTCTCAAGCTGAGCTCCTCACCTGCTCCCAGGACCGGATTCACCCTAAATGAACAAGCAATTAATCATCCACTTAGCTGAGCATCTGTCTGAACTGGGCACACCACCTCCACCCTGAATACAAAACATCTTTTTATAATGATAATAACATTAATGGGTTGATTAATAACAGTCTTAATTTTCCCTATACATTTTGACAAATTGTCAGAAAATCAGAAGGCAGACTGGCTGAGCAGACGAACAGACTGGCAGAGTGATGAACACGCTTATGGGTGTTTCGACTTTTCATTCCACCCTTTTACTCATATGAAGGCAAAATATATTTCCACCAGCCTATCATACATGTACTGTAGCTAACTTTGACCAGTGACATGTATGTTTTAATGTATCTGAGAATGAACATTCATCCACATTAGGGTAAGAGACAGTCTGGGACATTGTGGGTTATGGTGCAATATTATTATTTTACACATAGACCGTAACACATGATTCATTATGGGACAGGGAGATAAACTGGATTTTCCACCACTCTCACCTGTGATTTGTTATTATTGGCAAAGTCTGTCCATTTGCATTGGCCACAGGGTCTTTGAAGCGAGCCAAGAACTCTTCCCATGCAATTTGGTCCGTGGCTCTGAACCCATAGCTGATTCATGGAAAAACAGAACTTTTTATTACATGACACATGCTACACATGGTGAAATAAGGAAAATAAATTAAAACCAAATGTGATTAAACGCCATCGCCTGAGAAGACTGTTAGTGCCTCTTACTGAGTCATGAGCTCCTGAAAGGTGGCATCACTCATGGGAAAGAGAAAGTTACTGAGAGCAGACTTCAGGTCCTCCATGGACACAAAGCCCCTCTGAGTCACATCACAGGCATGCAAGGCTCTTCTCACATTCTCATGGTTTAACTGCATCTGTTTCACAAGAGGAGAGGGAGATAAGCACACATTGTCCCAGGTTATTCTGTTTGAAATTAGTGTGCAATTCAACGTGGGGAAAACCCATCACCCTCAACATGCCCATCGGGACTGGCAAGCTCAGCGCCACGGGACAGTAAGAAGACCCTCCTGCCTGCACAAAATGCTGCTGCTGTTAGGTTCTGGGGCTGTGAACAAGGGCTGTTGTGCAGGACAAACTTGCAATTGTGTTGCTGTGTCTTACACTCCCATTCATTAGACCATTAGATTCTTACACAAACAGAAAAAAAGACAATTGGTCACTTTTCTCTTAGTCTGTGGCTTTGTGTGGCTCATGTGTCCACTAGTCCACTAATCCATGCACTGCACTGGCTCAATCCAGCACTTAATCTGAGATCTTCTGATTCAGAATTTATCATTCTTTCTAAGACCAGGCTCCAGTGGGATTAAGACCAGTGGGACAGAGTCTCCTCTCTCTACTCCACACAGTGGGACACAGTCTCCTCTCTCTGTCCAAGACCAGACTCACACAGTGGGACAG